AATAATAATAATAATAATAACAACAATAATAACAACAACAGCAGCACTGGAATTACATTTAAAACAGTTAAAAATTGACAAAAAGTCCATTGTAAAAAGCCGCACTGCTTGGAACAGCATGCATATTACGAAAATATGTTACGACATCCTAGGCCCCTGGGTGGGGCCCAACTAGTAATCAATGCCAAATCCAGCGAAACAACTGGCCACTGTGATACAATTCTGTTGTTGTGATAATAATAATAATAATAACAACAACAACAACGATGACAGCCATTTATTTTGTGAGAAAGATAACTAAATAATATGAAATATAAATAAAAAATATGCACAGTTTGGACTTGGGGAATGGTGGCATATAAATACAATAAATAAATGATACAATAATAAAATCAAGAAAATAACCCCATATTGAAAGGAAGAGATAGTTATCCAGAGATTATATCAAAACACATTTCTTAGGCACTTGGACTAGATACATCATTTTGCATGCATACTGTATGCTAGTTTAGTAGCTCAACAGTTCATCATAATGCTAGATAAAAAATATGCTGAATCCTTAGTATCATATATGTTGAGTTGAATAGTCTATATGGCATTCCTTTCATAGCCATCAAAACTTATTGTACTTAGAAAGCCTGGGTGAGTCGCTATTGTTTTTATTAATAGAACTCTGTTCCTTCTGGAATGTGAATTGAGAAAACATGTACTATTTTCATTCTCCAAGCAACTGTTGTTGAGTGACATTATCAGTTGCAATTATTAAATGGTACACTATGAAAATATTTAGAGCTGAAGGGTCAGATAATTGGGCATGACCATAAAAGGGAAAATGGTAGAGAGGGCAAACCTGATCCTTTATCAGCACACTTCAATACTTTAATATTTCTAAATCCCTGTGACAAAAAAATACCTAGATTTAATCAAGACTTTTAAGTTTCCAATTTTTAAAAAAAATAAAGAACAGTAAACATTTTTCCTTACATATGAAATCCAACAATTAGTCTGAATTTCCAAGCCTTCTCTGGCATATCTCCTCTGTCATTTATTTTCCTGATAAGGAATAGTTGGGGGAAAAAACTTGAGCAGAGTTTATTTTTCCTTCCTGCCTATATTTCAAATCAGTACATGAACAAAAAACTGTAAATAAAAGAAAGGGAACAGAAAAAAAATTGCACTAGAGCACTGCTAGAGGAAAATAAAGCTTGGGAATATAGATGTACATGTGTAATCTTAAAAAATATAGAAAACTGTAAAACTTCCATATTCAATATTTATGCCTAGAAAGATTAATAGCATGCAATTTAGAGAAATAATTATAAATTATTCTTATAAAAGATTTGAGGGATCACACAAGGAATTCCATATATATCATACAAGGAACTCCATAAGTCCATATTTTCTCACTAAGTATGTTCAAGAAAACACAGCTTATATGTCATTGTATGTGCACATTGAGTTTTGTAAAGATTCATTTGTATTCACTATTATATGATACTTGCTAATACACATTGTTTATAACATGTGATATTAATATATTTATGAACTTGTGACCAATTCATTTATATGATGTATTTCCAAAAGATTTCCCACCAATAATCAAATTGGGAGGTCTGCTCTTCACTTTTAGTTTTCATATTGTTGTTAAGCCACTTCATTTACTAGCTAACATAATAAACATGTGCATGACTTAAATTTTACACTACGTACGTTGTTTGAACTGCAAGGTCTTACATCTGCCAATTTTTCAAAATTTTTCACTCTAGGACCCACACAATATTTTCCTATCCATCACAAAAATTTTCAAGTATGAAATGAATTAAGTTCACTTCCATACTTAGTCAAAATAATGCATCTTTAGGGCTTTCTTAAAGGTCACCGGAGATTCTTAGACCTCTTACTGCAGCAGTCCCCAATCTTTTTGACAGTAAGAACCAGTTTTCTGGAAGACAATTTTTTTCATGGACTGGGGTGGTGGGGGTTTTACTTCTGCTTGCTTGCACGCAGTTCATTTCCAGCTGTGTGGCCTGATTCCTAACAGGCCAAGGACCGGTACCAGCCCGAGGGACCCATCTTACAATATTTTGGTTGAGTACTTACAGAAGTTCAAACAGCAACTGTAAGCAGCTCTTCCCCAAAGTCCCCCAAAAGTCTTAATGAGTAGCAGTGATCATGTAGAACAAAGTACTCTCTGGGCTGCTTTGGATGGAGGCTTCTAAGGGCGTTCAAGATAATTATTTATATTATGCTGCAAAGCAAACTGGGAACCAATCCAATCATTTTAATAGTGGAATAATCAGTCTTAGTCACTCTAGAGATCAACCAGTTTAATTGACTGGTTTATAATAAACTAGCATTAAAACTCATTGTAAGAAAACATACCTGAGACATATCTCAGCTGAACTTAATAGGAATATACTTTTTCAAGAATTCACACTATAGAGTGGCATTGTTGTATAAGAACAGTGATGGTGGACAAGATTTATTTTGCTTGTATGCATGTTTTTAGCAGATAAGCGCAACACATTTAAGTGGTATCATAAGACATTCAGTAGTTTTTAAAATGGAAGAGTATGGGGAAGGAATCACTTGAGATATCAATTATGCAATTAATATGTTTACATTTAATTGATATAATTGAACTTAGTATATAGGACTATCAGATCTGGGATGCAAAACTCCAGATGGTCACTAGATGGCAATACATAATAGGTTTTTAATCTGCATATTTGCCACCTAATTCTGGTACTCCTATTATTAGGTTGGAGAAAATATCAGGATCAAAAGTCAGAGTTGAACGGAACCTCAGAGGCCCTCTGATCCAACATAGTGCTCAGTACAGATCCACTATGCATTTCACCAACAGTCACCAACATCTTTTCAAAGTTATCAAGCAATAAGGAACACAGCACCATGAAACACAGCTCCATGAAACAACTTATTTGATTGGTTAACAGTTCTTAACATTAGAGAGCTCTCTAATATCTAACCTGAATTTATTTCCCCTTCATTCCAACATATTCCTCTCAATCTTTTGCAGGCTAAACATATCCAATTCCTCAAGCTGCTCTTCACGTTACTTTGTGCCAACCTCCTCAGCAGACATTCTTGGTCACCTTCCTATTGTGAATCAAATATTAGCAGATCCCTTTGTTTCTTCTTTCACCTTCTGACAAATGAAGTTGTCAGTAAGGGAACACAGGATTTATTGGACCTCTGCCTCTTCACAGTTAGATTTCCAGCTGGAATTTGGAAACCTTTCATTGTTGTCATCATATGCCTTCTTTGAAAGTGGGGTCATCTATTAAAGAAAGGCCATATCTTCTGCTTGCCCAAACCATCTATAATAAACTTACAGAAAAATTTACTTTTGTTTCTCTAGGAGTATCTAGATGGAGTCTGATATGAGTTTTATTCTGTTCATCAATTTGATCCAGTTCAAACCTTTTGGGAAAACTGAATCAACTTGATTCACTGCTTCAGTTTGATATGACATTCTGTTTTGCTTCAGAAATAACATTTAATTTGACATTAAATTAAAGCATTTTCAAATTGAATGAGAATTTTCCTATAGTCTTATAAATAATATTTCCTGCCTTGTAAAAATATTTTTGCATGCTATGGAGAAATGTGTATTTTTAAAGGTAAAGTGTTTATTATAAAACGGGCATATACATAGAAATACTCTTGCAACATTGATGACCAACTGTGCATGTATTGTGTACAAAGCAATAGTCCAAGAATTAAAATAGGATTCATTCTTCTGATAATATATTATTAATGGGAGACACATAGTTTCAGAGCAACCATGAGTAGAATCTGGGATATATGATAGAAAATTTCTCCCCAAATTGACATTCGTCTTAGGAAATTTTTCATAAAGGTTAAACATTCATAAATTCATTATATTTTACCAAAAGATATGTTCTCAACATTTTAGCATTTGCCCATACTGTTAATTATTGCTGTCAGTTCCCAGGCAACACTTGTTCATAAGAACCTGCATTAAGTTACATATAAATTATAATCTTGCTAATTTAATCATTTTGCTACATACTTGTCAGATCTTTTTGAATATTAGAATATATATTTAAAATATTTATGATTTGCTGTGTTTTTAAATTTTAACACAACAGACAAAATAACTGTATATATCCATTGAATTGACTCCTCAATTCAAAGGCTTGTACGGGGAGTTTATTTGGCAATAATAAGAAAGCCCTGACATTCCCCCCCCCCCCAAGATGTATAGACTACAATGCAGCCTATGAGATTTCCTCGTAGTCTCCCATCCAAGTACCTACATACAGCTATGGGAGAAGAGACTGTCAAAAAGTCAGCTATAAATCTAGTATAAAACTATATGGCTATTTATTAGAATGAAATAATTGGCTATTCTAAATTCAGCACTTACTAATAATTCTGAAAGATTGCAGTATTGCTTGCTATATATATAGAAGTAAGACTTGAGGTGGATATTAACTGAAAAGAAGATTAATTAAATTTTGGAAATTTTATTAATGCCAATTATTAGTATATTTTATAGAAAATTAATAAATATATATTTACAATACACAAAGAATAGAAATATTAGATTCTATCAGTTTCATTTAAGTTCTTTCCTATTAAATGGTCTGCTATAGATGAGGAGCAGAACACTGCATGAAGACAACTGATACTTCTGAGTGTAAAAACAAATGTATGAATGCAGATAACAAAAATCGATATGGATAGTATGGAGAACAAATGCTTAACAAGGTATTTTTATAAACCTGGCAGATCAGTAACAACAAATAATAGAAAGAAGCATACCTTGTCCTTGAGGAGTTCCATAAAACTCAGCAGCTATTCTCGCTGCCTCTTTACGATTCCCCTTTACAATATAGAAATGACTGAGTATTGCAAGACTGATTTTTACAAAAAGTTTAAAGCAGAAAAGTGAAAGTATTGTAAAGTAGACATTGGATAGTTGTTGGGCAAAAGGCCGATTTTCCTCTACAACAGTCATTGCTGCACAAGTGTCTTTGTCAGTGTTTAGAAACAGCTCTGAAATATGTTGCTAAGATCATATGGCTCCAGCCAGACACTCCTAGGGAACAGCTGGTCCTGAGGAAAGAAAATATCAGCTGGTCATGATGTGTGCAGCTCAAAATATGAGGATTATTTATACTGTAAAGAGCATTGAGTTCAGTAGCACTCCCACTAGCTTGGTGGTATTCAACTGAAGAATACATACAAACAGCTTCAAGAAATCAATTATAAGGGGCTGGTTTAAAAGGATAAGTGCAAGTACATCAGCTTTTGTGCTGTTGAAGAATGGATCTCAAATTGTATTATTTACATTATATAACGTCAGAAGGAAGAGCAGCCAAAAATGTACCATTCTCAGTTCAGCTAGCATTCAATTCTCTTTCTCAAGATATTCTAGCTCCCGTTGTTCTTTTTAAGTATCCTGTATCCATGAGAACTTCTGCTTCATCGATCAGCTATACACATTTGAATAGCATAAAGCATATTAAAATGCCCCTTATGAGCTGTCACTGTTGTTTTAAATCTTTGGCCTAGATGAGAATGTTCTCAATGAGTTACTCATACAGATACAAGTATACCTACTCTGATACAGGATTGTCTATTCTTATATTGCTGTGCATAGTCATGGTTTTTCTCCATGGTCTTAATTTTACTCACCAGAATTTTAGACAGGATTCCTTAATACCCTCAAAGGATGGTATGGCAGTTGATGCTGAATAGATCTTTTTTTTGGCTACATTCTACTGCTTATTTTATTATAATTTTAAAATGTATATGGGATCCTTCAAAATGAAATTTTCCTTGCAACTTAAGCTGCTGAAAATTCCAATAAGAAAGGTTATTGCACAGTAAAAGATTAAGGAAAAATTAAATAAAAGAAGACCAAACTAATGACAAAAGATATAGGTACCAGCTTCAGAACTAATAATAAAGCTATTGTGGTGGATATCTTCTGCCTTTGGGATTGACTATCAACAGTAAATGAATCAGCAGTTAAGAAATATGCAGCAGATTAGCCCTTAGTTTCCAAGGCCTAGCAATGAAGGCCTTGGAAAAGATCAATATGTCAAGAGGTACCTATACCTACAAAGATCGGGATCATGCAGGCAATGTTTTTTGTGTAATGCTATATGGAGGCAAAAGTTAAGACTTTGGAAAACAAGACAAAAACAGTATGGCACTTCTGCAGACTCATGAGGATTCATACTGAGAGCCAGTTTGATCTAGTGGTTAAAGCACTGAAAGCAGGAAACCATGACTTCATGTACAATTTAGCTATGAAAGCCAGTTGGGTGACTGCGCCAGTCACTCTTTCGCAGCCCAACTCACCTCCCAGATGGTTGTGGGGAAACAAGGAGAATGAAAGAGTATTCAATGTTTACTGCCTTGAGTTACTTTTATAAAAATAAATAAATACATACATGCTACAAATCTCTAAAATAGTGGGAAGAGCACTGTAGCAGAGATAGATGGCCACATGGTGAATTTTGGCCATGGAAAATTCTCTGGAAAAGGAGAGATAATGAGATTTGCCCACATGTAGCTTCTAATGTAGCCTGTATGGATAAGATTTGCTGAATTTCATTTCTTAATTGCTTTTAAAAGTTTCCCCTTAATTGCTTTTTAGACACTTGGAGCCTTTGAAATGGCAAGTTCTAGAACATCAGGGGAGTTTCCTTCAATCCTTACTGAAAGTAATTTTAAATAAATGGTTAATAAAAAAAATTTAAAAAATTATGTTAGAATGAACAACAAAAGGGTATTTAGAATGCTGATTTTAGGTTATAAATGAACTAAGACTCCAGATGAATTTGAAATAATTATAAAATAAATTAAGTAGTAATTGATTATAAGAATCTTCTAACGAAAAAATGATATTGTTTTGAATTCTTAAAAAAAAACATAAGATGGGGCTTTGAAGTTGGATACTAGAAGGAACCAGAAGGAACTAAAGAGTATAATTAAATTTTGCTTACTAATATAGAATGGAGTAGATCAGTTGTATTAGAGGATATTTGTGAATATGGACCTTTGTGTTAATTTTAAAAATGTCTGCCACATATACTGTAGATTGTGTTTAAAAGATATTATGGAAAAGGAACATGTTTTATTGGACAAGACTGAAACTGATCTGAAAGCAGATGTAAAAGTGACAGGTACAAGAATGATACAGAAAAAGACCATGGGATAATTTCCCCAGCCAACTTCCTGTGGCTAACTCACCATAGCCAACTCGTTACAGCCAATTCACCACAGCCATTTCACCTGGGACAACTCGCTGAGGGACAATTTAACAATTCTATTAAATTATAAAATAAAACATTTTAAATTTTGCCATTCACATTTCATTCTGTCCCTCCTTTTGCAGCCTTTTTAAAATGATTCTGTTCCACCATTTCTTTGATATTAATGTAACTCTTGTCCCGCAGAGACTTGACCATGGCAAGTTGGCTGCAACAAATTGTCATAGACCCGGAAAAAGATGCTACAATGGATATACAAATGAAATTTGCTGATAACTTAATAATCAAAATAGATTTATTCTCATAATTGCAAATACAAGCAAGATAGGGAAAAGATAAGATAGAGTATGGTTTTAATATGGGAAGCAGAGCTGATACTCATGGGAACAGAAGAAAAAATGATCAAGAAGTTATTTAGCTATCTATTACAAATTAGATTGGAAGAGGTTAAGGAAAGAATGATAGCGTAGACAAAAAAAATTGGTTACACGATCAAGTTAGAAAAATGGCAACAACTATGGGAAAGGAATTATAAATTAACTATGTCAACAGCATATAAAGAAAATTTGTATAAAATGTTTTACAGCTGGCACATGCCACTTTAAAGATTAGCAAAGATGTTTAAAGATAAATCAGCAAAATGTTGGAAATGTCAACAACGTCCGGGCTTGTACTATCACATGTGGTGGATATGTTCAGAAGCAAGGAATTATTGGATTGAAATAAGAACATGCTTAGACAAAATGTTACATTAAAATATAGAGTTAAGACCAGAGGCATTTTTATTGGGTATCTTAGCAAAGAAATATAAGGAAGAAGATACATATTTGATTATACATGTAACAACGGCAGCAAGAATTGTATTTGCACAATTGTTGGAAGTGTAAAAAAACACCAAGCACTTTTTATCATATGTGGTGGACATACAATGAGGCCAAAAGATATTGGAAAATGATTCAATCATGGTTGGAACAAATGGTGGGAGATCAAATTTTGTTTAAACCAGAAATTTTTCTCCTAGGCGTAATACCGGAGAGGTTTAAGAAAAATGTAGTCTATCTAATTATACATGTACTAACTGCGGCGCACATAACTTTTGTGCAGTATTGGAAAAAATAAAATACACCATCAGAGCTAGATATAATCAGAAAAGTGTTGGCCTCTGCAGAAGCAGATAGCCACACTCTTGAACTTAAAAATAAAGGGAGGGGCATCAGAATATTTTGAAGTCTGGAACAAATTTTATGACTGGTATAAGACAAGGTGACAAGACTGGAACAAACTGTATATATTGTGATTGGACAGAAGGATAGATAATGCACTAAATAGGCTAATAGTTAATGGCTGAGACTAATTGTGTATAATGCGAATGTATGGTCACTTCGACTCTGCGGTACTGCATTGTTTTAAATGTAAAAATAATAAAAATATATTTTAAAAAAAGAATTGTATTTGCACAAAATTGGAAAGCAGATAAGATCCCTTTGGAAGGAAAGATAATTTTAAAAATTGGACTGTGAAGAATTGAATAGGTTAACTCAGAGAATAAAGGATATAGAGGAATCAGTATACTTCAAGACGTGGGGAAGATTTTATGATTGGTTAGAGAAAGAATATGAATAAGATAGAAAAGGAAGCAAGAGAGAGGAATAGAAACTCAGACAACAAACTATTAAATGAAAAAGGGTGGAAGAGGGGGAAACTAGAAAAATAGTAAAGTACTAATATATAAGTATATATTCAAAGAATGAGACACAGGTAAAAAAACAAATTGGAAAATATAATAAGGAAAAGGGAATGTAAAATGGCAAATATAAAGTCAGAACCGGGTTTGCTGGAATACCATCCCAAAAATACACCAGATGGAAGAGGAAAATAGGCAACCACAACAATAGAAGAGAAAAGGAAGAAAGAGGAGAGGAAAGAGAAAGAAGAAAGAGGAAAGGAGAGGAAGATTGGGAGGGATAGGAAGAGGAGGAGAGAGGGAGAGGAGAGGGAAAGAAGAAAGAGGAAAGGAGAGGAAGATTGGGAGGGAAAGGAAGAGGCGGAGAGAAGGTATGAAGGGGAAAAGTTAGAGAGGAGTAGGGGAGAGGAAGGAGAAGAAGGAAAGGGAAAGGAGAGGAGGAAAGAAGAAAGTAGAGAAGGGAAGGAGAAAAGGAAAGGAAAGTAGGGAGGCGATAAAACAAAATAGGTGTATGGGATGGTAAGCAAAGCAATCCCAGTGATATATTTTAATTTTTTATATGGAAAAATGAATGTTTAAAAGTGTTAAAATGTGATAAGAATAATAACTATGAGAATGTATACTTGTAAATGTGTGTGTGAGACTAAAATAAAAAAAACTTTTAAAATAATAATAAATGAAATACATTTACAAATAACAATCCAAAAAAGTGACCTGGATAACGCTCCTATATTGGATTTACAAAAGTCTTGCTAAAGCTTTGAAGCGTTTTGTGGGAAGAGACAAAGAAAAAATGAAAATAAATAAATTCTAGAAAAATAGTTGAAAGATGAAAGTTCAAGATTGTTAAAAGGAAGGTAATGTTGCTTTATATGATCAAGATTAAAATAGTTATGTTAACTCTGATAATCCTTATATATAGTATAAAGAGAATTTATAGTGTATTTGCATAATACACAGCTTTTTTGAGGTAGGAAACTTGTTTTAAGGGAAATCCACTTCAGTGGTTGACGGGTAAATGATGCTTCAAGTGGTGGGTTACCATTTTTTTTACTACTGGTTTGGGCACTCTACTGGGCGCACTCACGCTCGCAATGCTTCTGCGTATGCACGGAAGCGTCTAAGCATGTGGGCAGAGCCTCCTGCCAGTGCTACTATCGGTTTGGCCAAACTGGGAGCAACCCACCTCTGGATAGTTCCAATGTCTCTGATTTCATTCACCTTTATCCCAAGCTGTCCTTTATTTGACATATGTTTGCATAATTCTGTCTTGGGGCAATAGTTGCTAAGCATTCCAGCAATATCGGATCAGGGAGGTGACTTATCTATACAGAAACTTCCAACAGTTTGTTGAGTGACCAAAGTTGCGGCACCAGAAGTGTAACTTATGATCATTTTTTACACTTTTAACTATTGCAGCATCACCATAGTCATGTGATCAAAATTCAGACACTTGGCAACTGACTCATATTTATGACTGTTGCAGTGTCTCAGGGCCATGTGATCACCTTTTGCGACTTTCTGACAAGCAAAGTCAATGGGGAAGCCAGTTGCACTTAACCATGCTACCATGTTACTATAATGATTCACTTAACAATTGTTAACAAGAAAGGTTGTCAAATGTCTTGCTTAGCAACATAAATGTTGGACTCAATTGTAATCATACATTGAGGGCTACTTGTATATGATGAAGGAAACAGGCTTTTAATCAGATCAAGGTCATAGAAGAAATAAATGTAGACTCGTAGCTACCCTTAGCTAAAAAAAACATGACACCAATTGTATTTTGGACTTTTCTGCAAATTTCATGGTGGGAAAGAAGCAGCTGAAACATGGGAGAATAAGTTAAAGACAACAACAATAAAATTGTCTCACGTTAAGACTGTAGTGGAAAGGATAATTAATATTCACCAGAATGAAGAGGAAATTGCTCCAAGAAGAAAACTAACTGAAATATCAAAAGGAGAATTAGCCAATCATTTCTTCTGAAACTCATGGATATGTTTTCTCTAAAGATATTCTAATGTTCATCCCTCTTCCTACAAACTTTGGAAAAGTCTTCTTGAAAGATTGGACTGAATTATTCCTTACAGATACAGAAAAGGCTCTATTGTGTTCATGGACACCCCGCTGCTAGCAAAGGAGGGACACTTTTTTTTCTTGCAGAATTACCTCATAAACATAATTTGTTGCAGAATCACACACCCAGATATGTTGTGACTATAGCTCTAAGAATGTACAAGTCAGCTGTCATCAATATCGTATGTCTATTGTTCCACTCAGTTTCCATCTGTCACTGGCTGGGTAGCAAAGAAATTGTTCACTGGTGTATCATGCCACATGGAATTTTGTGAGAGCTTTCTTTCCCCCTAGCATTAGTTTCCTCTCTACATGTAAAAAATGTTGGACTATTTTCTTTTTTAGTGGACTTCAGTTGTACTTCCTGCTCTGTACTCTGGTCTACCAGCTATTATCAGTGTGCATGTGTAATTATGTTTGTTATAGTTGTCTTTTTAGTAAAAGACAATTCCTTTGAGATGTTATTGAAAGATTTTCCAGTAGTTTGGTCAATATGTAATCATAGTCAGATCTTCAAAACCTATAGCTAAGAACTATTGCTTTAAAATATAAATAAGAAGCCAAAGAACTGTGTCTTTGTTGGCAAAACTTTAGGTACGTTAAGATAATCTGAGCTGTCGAGATCAACAGGAGATGGCAATTAATAGTTTTCTGCACTTCTTTGCTACCATCTGGTGTTTATTTGGAGCTTTTCTGGGCAACTTCTAAACCAGTTTAGTGAGATTGACAGGTGTTTCCCTTTAAAGCATATGAAAGGTTGAGAAAAATTAGAGTAAAATACAAAATCCATTTTATATGAGCCATGGTCACCCAGTGGTTAGAGAGTGCTGTACTGCAGGCTACTTCTGCTGATTGCCAGCTGCTGGCAGTTCAAATCTCACCAGACTCAAGGTTGACTCAGCTCTCCATCCTTCTGAAGTGGGTGAAATGACCCAAATTGTTGGGGGAAATATGCTGACTCTGTAAATTGCTTAGAGAGGGCTGTAAAGCAGTATATACGTCTGAGTGCTATTGCTACTATAACTTTATATATGCTTTATATTTGTGAGATATATAACCCCCCCCCCAAAAAAAAAATCTTTCAGCTCATGGAGTTTTTCTCCCCCAAAAGTATTTAGGATTACATCTATAGTCTTAACACTTACTTTGGCAAGCATAAAGGTAGCACCACCGGTTCCTGGAAAACTATTTGCCTCCTTACTCGATTTCCATAGTTACTTTTGACACCATGAGAAACTACAGTATTAATGCATTGCAGTACTGTATTAAAAAATATCTTTTTAAAAGGAATATAAAGTTCCATTATTTAGTAAGCTTGCAACCGAACTCTCCACACCGAAGTTGGAGTCAGATTTCTTTTCTCTTTAAAACGCATTTTATTGTGCTGAGAAAGGTAAGTAGCTGCGTTCCCTGTCGAAAACTTGCCATTTCATTGTCGGCATGTTTAACTGGGTTACTGCAGCAGTGAACATGGCCGGGAGGGGGGGGAGCTCAACCATAACTTCACAGTAAGCTCCTCCTCGCTATTTTAGATTGAGGCAGGTCCTCCCCAATAAGCTGCGCCCAGTGTCTTTCCAGGAGCATCCCAGAAATAAACGAAAGCAAGGCAGTTAAGAGCCTTTTGCGTCGCAAGGGGGTGAACTTTCCGCTACGACCCTGCTCGCGGCAACAACCCTCTCCGAGGGAGAGAAAGAGACCGTTCACAGGCGGGGCAGACGGTGTAGAGAAACTCCGCCTTCTCCAACCAGCGCCTTCCCAAATGAGTTAGGGTAAATAAAAATACTCTCCAATGAGCCTTAATGCGTTTGGAGTTTTTAGTTTTCTTAGCAATCATTCCGAAATGACTTGACATTGTTTCCCCAATGCTGTTAAGAACTCCATAGCAGCGAAGCAAGAGATCTCAAAAATAAACCCGGGAATGTATCAAGGGCAAATACCCTGGATTTCCCTATCTGGCAAAAGCTTCCTTACTCAATTCGGCGTTCGCGCAGGTCGCGTCTGGGGTCACCTAACTAAGCTTGAAAGCAGTATTTCGCTTCAGGCGGACTTCCGGTCACTCTTAACTTTGCTATCTCTATGGAGGAAGTGGAGCGAAAGATGGATGCTGAGGCTCATGGGACTTGTAGGCAGTGGAATCGAGAGGGGATTTCCGCCTATGGGCGGGCTGAGGCGGGCGAGTGCTCTTTGGGCCCTCCTCTCGCGGGGTGGTTGGGCGGGTTCGTTACCAGGCAAGGTGCTACGTTTGGCCTCCCTTTCTCTTCAATCGCAGGCAGCGGCGGTCCCAGCGGCAGCCTTTTCCTTTCAGATTCAGGTCCTCGTACCTCTGCCTAACTCGAGCCTGCCTGCCTGCCTCCCTTTCCGTTACTCCGGAGCTGAGGCCTGTCCTTCCCGGAGGGCAAGAAGCAGCAGCAGCAGCAGCAACGGGCAGTTGTTAGCTCGTACGCGTGTTGTGTCGTGAGGGCTGGAGGGACGGCGGGGAGATGAACACCGTCCTAACTCGAGCCAACTCGCTCTTCGCCTTCTCGCTGAGCGTGATGGCGGCGCTGACCTTCGGCTGCTTCATCACCACCGCTTTCAAAGAGCGCTCCGTGCCCGTCAGCATCGCCGTCTCCCGTGTCATGCTGTGAGTGTGTGGATGAGGGCGGGCAGCGGCGCAGGCGGCCCTTCTCTGTCCCCGGAGACGGAGATCAGCAGCCCTTGTTCCCGCGTGAAGAGGGGGGAAATGGAGGAAAAACACAATCAGATGCGCGTTTCTGCTTCTCAAAATTCTTTAGGGCGTTTGTGAGTCTTTGTGGAACCATGATGCTTCGGCTGCTCCGGCTGCTCCAGCTGTCATAGAGTGACCTGAGTTTTCCGGCTGCTGAGTTGCATTGTGGAGTAACGCCCCCCCCCCCCCGCCTTTGTTTAACCCGTTTTCTAAATTTCTGTCCTTGCCCGGTGCTTGCTTTTAATATAAAGCCTTTATATAGTCTCTCAGGAGTTGATGGAGAATAATACTGAGAACAGCCTCTCCTCCTGGTTGGTTGTTGACTTACATATTATTCCACTCCTTTAATCTATAGCTGCTTAGTTCACATTTAAAGGAACTCTATATATTGCCCTTGCAAACTTCTCTAGCTCTTTATTTCCTGTCAGTTAGGTCTTTAATCTAATTTTTCTTCAGATTGTCAGTTTCAGAAGTGTGGCCTTTCCTTCCTGTTCTGTCATTTCCTTTTTCTTTAAGCCAATGAATGAACAACACGAACCCTCCAGTGCTGTAATCTGCCTTCTGGCAAGCTCCCTTGAGAGTGTATGCACAGAAAGGCAATTCAGTTTAAACATCAGTTGCTGTTTATATTGACAGCTTATTGGCTAAGCATATCCCAGTTTCTAAGAAGTTAGAAAAGTGTAGGATGAGTGTTATTTTCTAATCTATTGCTGCACTAGCAAAATAAATCCTATTTAGATACACTTTTCTGAAAATTTCAGTAGACACCCTTTGAACTATGGATTTCAGATCTCATATATATATAAAACATGGTTAAAGTGTGTCATGCTAACCACTGCATGAATGAAACAATGGAAATACAGAGAAAATACATTTATGATCTTTTCTTATAGTGAGCCATTTGGGTGAAAAATGTAAAAATATGTCCAGATTCTGATTGTATAGTAATAGTAAAAATTGTAAGTGCTAAGAAAACTAAATTATACGCTTGGCTATCACAGATATTAAATTCACATTTACTTGGCATGTTTTGAATAGGTTTTTTTTTAAAACAGCTGCTTAATTTAATGTTGATTCCCAGTTAACTAGCAATTTACATTGTGTTGATTATACTGGATATTTATAATTGCTTATTGATTATAAGAAATATTTAAGATATTTTACAAAAGCAAAAATTATTTTTGCCTACAAATCTACAAATAAATGTCATGCTTCTTAGGGTTATTTAAAAGAATAAATTACATCTAAAAGAGACTGTTAGAAAGGAATACATGAATAATATTGAATAATACTTTTATTTTATTTCATAGAAAAAATGTAGAAGATTTCACTGGACCAGGCGAAAGAAGTGACCTTGGAATCATTACTTTTGACATTAGTGCAGATATCCTTTATGGCAAATGTTAGCATTAAGAGAATAGAATGTCTTATTAGCTTGAATAGAACAGGTAAACTGACATAAACTCTACCTCCTTCATTTGTAGCAAGCAGTGCGAGGGACACATCCTCCAAAATTGACAGATGTGAATATTAATGTGTGAACAAAACTCTATAATGTTTTTAATTTCAAATGTGATGGTCCATTCAGATGCTTATGAAGTTTCAAATTGGTTGTACTTGAAATCTTATATTGAGTTTTCTGCAATATGTAATAATGGGAACTGAACACTTGGATTTTGCTTTCTCATTTATAAGAAAAAGTGGAAGCAATAGTTAAGCATAATTCTTTGATGTCATAACCATAGAACTGAATACAGCAAAGATGCAGTAGTAGTAGATTTATTTCTATGCAAGTTTAGTGAACAATATAACACCAATATTCATTTCTTTGGCTATTGTTTTGACACTTTTTCCTGATGAATATTCTTACACTGCATACTTCCTGCATTTGACTGTGTGCTAACAAAGTTCAATGAACAAAGTAACAAAGTTTTGCACATGGCAACTTGAAAGTTCAGCAACATAATAGCATTGTTATTAATCATGTTTGGAAAAAAGGAGGAAAAATAGTCAGTTGCATTCATTGTAAATAGAAAATAATGCAAAAAAAAGGAAATAGCACAGAATTTAAAAAGCAGAAAAATTGAAAAATAATAATCTTAATACCAACTAGATAACAGTCTTTTTTCTTAAGTACATAATGATTCTCATGCTTTCCCCCTTTCCCTCCAACTAGGTCTAATCAATGGCAGGAACAGATCTACTTGCTGTTTCATTGAATAATACCAGTCTCTATGGCATTGAGGTGTTTTTTTTTTAAAAAAAAGCTAAGTACAGGATACTAGGGTGCTCAAAACACTGTGTAATGAAATTATCTTTTTCAGTTCCCAAATCAAAGTAAACTTGTGGACTGTATGTTCTGAACTCGTTCAGAATATTTTGTATACTTCTCGTGAGCACTTTCTCTTTTTTCATTTATACTCTTACCAGCTTGTAACCAGCAGGGCTTTAGGGCTTGTTGGAATGCTTTGAGTTTGAATAATGTTCTGGCTTGCCAATCTGTATGTATAGTTTTTTCTTTCTTTAAATAGCAGCTTGGCTTGTTGAGATTTGTACTGAATGTGAATGTTTGAAAAGAATCATATTCTGAAACAGCATATGTTCCTTACCTTTTTCACATCTGCAAAGTATATTTGATTGGAACGTGAAACAGTTATTTCTATATTTATCAGCAGAATATTCAACAAAAAACAATGTAAGTGTGCATTTAACAATGTATAAATGGGAAATCATACTAGATTTCATGCTATTAGAATTACTGATCTGCATAACAGTAATACATAGACAGATATTTTACATTCTCCTCAATCATTAAAATAAAACGTAAAATATATTCTGGCAATAATTAAAAAGCAGCAGTTGATTACATTTTGAGGTTGTTCTTTGATAGACAATTACGTATAATGCATTGCAATTTGCACCATTTCATTTTCCTGAATTAACTATTTATTTATTTAGGAGAATTTATATGGCCGCCCACTCACTGTCAGTGACTCTGAGTGGCTTACAAAAATAGACTATAAAATGTGTATAAAAGTTTATCCATATTCTGAAAATTAATTTACCTGACAGTTCTAGCTTGAATACTGTTTGAAAAATTTTCTTAATAGAAAGGAAGCAATTTGGATTTCATGTATTGGCATTACAATACCATCTAACTTCTGTTTCCAAAATTTAACTCTATCTTAATCAGAAAGGACAGCAATATTTTATATGATAGAGATTAGCCATTTAATCCCTCAAATCAGAGGGCCCCAAGGGATCACCACAGCCTGATGGCGACCACAGTTTATTCAGAATCAGTCCAAATCTGCATTTGTGAAAGTAGCGCATGCACATGAAACCATCCCCTCTGCGTTCCCTTGCACTGCTACCACTACCAGTCTGCCATGTTAGAAAGTTTGGAGACTTTGCTTCAAGTGGTCTTATAAAAACAGACTTCTGCATAATTTTAATTTGCATAGTTTTAAATTTTTAACTGTTTGTATGTATGTATGTGTATATATATATATATATATGTGTATATATATATGTGTATATATATATGTGTATATATATATG